TGAATCCCATTAATATTTGCACATCTGCTTGCAGGTTGAATACAATGTACCTAATTTTATTTAAGACCTTTGTAATTACCAGCATCACTGTGTTCCGGTTTTGAAGGGTAAGGGTGCTGGAGAAATTGCGGGCACATGAGACTTGTCAACTTATGTCTCGCGCCTCAGATCTTTGCGACTTACAGAGCTTAGTGGCACTGCAACTGTTATGGACAGGCGTGTAGCTTACCATCAGGTGCACGACTTGATCGTCCCGTCACTTGATATTATAAAAAAAAACATTCTTGTCAAGGCATTATAAAAGGAAGTGTACACACTTATAGTGTTCAAGTAAACTAACCTATAAATAAGCGATGTCTCGGTCAGTCTAGCTTGTCCGTGTACACCGGCGAACATGTATACAGACATCAACACTAGCACGGTGTTAATGCACTCCAGGTGAAGGTAGTAAGTGTTGTCTCTGAAAAAATAAATCATAGTTTCATTATGACGATTAGATGTTATAATAATTAGGCTATAATTACCAATGGTCGGAAAAAGGTGTTCCGCATATTTTTTTAAATAACATTAAATGACGAGACTAACAAGTCGTGTATCTGTATATAGATGCATGTATAGACATAGCTACGGGCATCGAGTATATAACCAGAATTAGAGACGAAATAAGGGCCATACATCCCTGGCATCTCGTCAGGCAAATGGGCCTCATATCACTTTTAAATATAAACTCTCGTTTGCACTGAAATCACAATTAGAAAACTGAAATAATACAGCGCCAACAACTGTCCTGTGTGTACGTGTCCGTATATTCCAATTCTATTTATTGTAATAAAGATAATATCTCTAATAATGGGCGGCTGTTCCATTCGGTGGTGTGGGAAAAACAGCAAAACTTCTAATTACAAAACAAACGGAATCACATTTCATCGGTAATTAAATATGTAATTTTTCAATTTTCATCCATTATAGCAAAGCTCAAGTTAAACTGGTCGATTTGAAGTGAAACAATTGACGACACCCGGCTGGCCAATCGAAGCGCAGTTGTCACCGGAATGATTTGGCAGAATAGTTTTCAAAGAAATTAAATGACATTTCGTCTCTATAACTGGTCATATACTCGATGGCAACAAGGAGTGACATAGAGTTGTTAAAACCACCAAATATTAAATAATTACTTTTTGGAATTCCAGATTTCCTTCTTCAAAAAAGATAAGACTATAGAAGCGAATACATTTCCCCTTAACCTTCGTCGCGCGCGGTCTCAGAGACCGCAGCGACCTTATTTTAGTCATTTTACAAAAACTATAAACAATAAACGGTTGCGCAACCGTGATATCTTCGAGGGGGTGAGGTACTTCCCCTTAGTAGCCCTGTGATGTTCGTCGCAAGCGCATATGTGTCTTTATTTGTGTTTGCGAGCGGTCGTGTTCCAGAAAAATTCATGGAATGAAATTGAAACCTGGGTGAGTATTTCATGTTATTTGTACTAAATTACTTACTAAATGACATTATTTTAATGTAACATGTATTAAATTATTCATTATTTCACTATTTGTTGTAGACACAACATGAGTTACGAAGAATCAGAATGGCTTGCAGATGAGGCGAAAACAGACGATGAAGATTTTGATGATGTCAAACCATTGCTACTGATAATTAGTAAGTTATCGTACTACCTGCTCCTAAAAAACTTAGAAGTTTTTTATTTTGTTTTCCTTTTTTATTTTATAAGAACTGAGATATTACGTAGAACATCATGAAAAAATTAATGTGATTTTAGAGTTACTACAATATTTTGCAATTGATGACAATATTGATATAATAATCTATTATAGTGTTATACTTATGAACGATAAAGAACGTAAATTTCGTCTTGTTTTGTTATTTTGTTGATTTTTAACGTTGTTTGTGTCATATGACTAAAATTTTGAACTTTTATAGACTGTTTAACTAAAAAGTACAAATAAAAAAAAAAGTAAATAATGTTTTCTTATTTTCATTTAAATAGATGAAAGACTTTTTTTATCAAGTGCTACACAACGTCATGAAAATATTCAATTGTCTTCTCAAACTGAACGCGTCACAGACCGCACGCGACTGCTTATGTTCGGCGCAAGGGTGCGACCACTGGAAGATTAAATGAATTTATGATTTTGTGACCTAGTTTATTTTACTCTGCAATAGGAAATCGGTTGTATATTATCTGAAAGTTGACTCACGTAACTGGCACTTCGATGATCATTCCAATCAATGCGTCTACTAGCATTTCGACCCGGCTTTCGTTGTTTGCCAGTTTGGGGGAAGATTGCACTGCATTAATGTTCTCTTTCAAGGCCGGGCTGGAGTCTACTGGGGCATCTGTAGGCTACATCATTAAAAAAACTTATTTCGCACATATAATAAAACAGGTCACACAATTCAAAAGAGCATGATGGATATGGCACCGCTCTAGGGAAACCCTGTATCGCGGGTGCCATGGACACACACATACACAACCACAAATTACACCCAAACTAACGAGGGAAATATATGCAGGTCATACAAATATTTCTATCGGCCTGGGAAACGAACCCGGGACCTCTACGTGGCAGTCCAGCCTGGTAAAGGATCAGTCACGGAGGCCGATTGGAATTTTAATCAAAATCAAAAAGGACGTTTGTTTTTAAATTGTATAGGAAAGGATCCACTATACTGCATCCCAGCTAGCTTGATTAGAATGACACATTATTAATACAAAGATCGAACACGCAGAAAAAAATTCTTTGATCCAGCCGCTACACCAATTAAGCCACGGCACGAACCAGCGGACCTCACGAATTTTTCTAAGTCCTTGTTGTCATGTCTTTGTATTTGGTTTTTCAACGACTTTTTAGCCGTAGCGCCATCTATGAGAAATCTATGAAGTATTTCGTCACCCAGTTAGAGATACCTTTACAGCTACCAGACCCGGCTTGAGATGTCGCTGTTCACTGTATTATAATTTTTTATTTTTTTCTGAGTATTCGATCTTTGTATTAATAATTGTAATAAACTAGTGAAGTAATTTCATATAAAAAAAAAATTATATCAATTCAATAAAAATTTAGAATGACATATCAAACTCGCTGAACCAGCGATGGGACTCGATCAGTGAAATCGAGGATCGAGGTTATAATAATATGGAAATCTGCTTTTGGAATAGTCTCGAAAGTCAAGTTCTACTCGGGATTTTTGAAACCGCACCGAGTGTCGATTTTAATACCCGAGACGAGAAAATGCAGTGAGATTAGCCCCGACACTCCGTCACGCGTGATCAGGAGCGTACAGGATTGCGCACATGGAAGCCTGCACGCGTAATCGTGCGCGATTACCTGTTTGAAAATTGTTAACGTTCTTTCGCGCGCGATTGTACGTGTTCGTTTTTGTTACAACGGAAAGAGCGTCCGTGTGAAGGCAGGATAGATCGCGTGAAACTGGCGCGTGTTGGAGTGCGCGACTACTGTATCACGCGGGATAGTGTCTGTGTAAAGCCCGCTATTGAAAGCACTAAACTTTTTTTATATATAATATGTAACATGAAAAACAAGTCGTAACGCGCCCGTCACCATGAGACATAAGTTGACAAATCCCATGTCCCTGTAATTTCACCAGTACCCTTACCCTTCAAAACCGGAACACAGTAACGCTGACTTTTTACTGCTTGCAGCAGATATACGTAAGGTGGACTAAGTACTTCATAAGGAGCTCTACTGCTATATAATACTTCCATAAAATTTTCATTTCACTACATAGTTCTAAATGCAGTGTATGTATGTATGAACTTACAAAAACTTGACAATTTAAGTGAACCTTTGCCCAGCAGTTGAACGAATAATGGGCGATCGATTTACGATTCACATGAAACAGGTTGGGCTATTTGTTACATAAGCATGACCGACATGCAGTCGATAGTCGATAGAATATTTATCGACTGCAATCAATAGCTGCTCGGAAGCGGGCAACACTTGCGCAATGGACTGTGGCCTCACTGGTGGCAGTACTTCCCTGAACGAACTCTTTTACTACTGCTATTAAACTTCATTTATGTAAAACTTACAGTAACAGTCTGATCCACTGGTCCGTTGGGCCGCCGTTCAGCCTGAGCATCCAAATGTCGGCATACTTCGTACTCCGGCACCATCTCGACCAAATACTTTGTCACCGCTCGTATCACGAATAACGCGTTGAATGTTTGCCAAGCAAGCATCACACTGGAAAGGTAAATAATATTTTTTTCATCACCCTTGCTCATAGTTTTACTAAATTTATTTTGTGAATTCAAATCCTGCAGTATTTTTAGAATTTGGA